AATAGGGAAAATACTCATAAATTGGGGATTAAAATGAGGAAAAAAGGTGGGAAAATAGGGGAAAAAATAGGAATACTTGGGATAAATAATTGAGGAAATATTGATAAATACGGGATTAAAATGGGAAAAAATGGTGGGAAATGGAATAAGTAAGGAAGGAAAATGAGGAAAAATTGGGAATATTTGGGGGTAAATAATGGTAGAAAGATTGATAAATAAGGGAGGGAAATGAGGAAAAATAGGGAATATTTGGGGTAAATAATTGAGGAAAGTATTGATAAGTAAGGGATTAAACTGGGAAAAATGGTGGGAAAATGGAAATAAGTAAGGAAGAAAATGAGGAAAATTGGGAATATTTGGGGGTAAATAATGGTAGAAAATATTGATAAATAGGGAGGGAAATGAGGAAAATTTGGAATATTTAGGATAAAATAACTGGGGGAAATATTGGTAAATAAGGGAGGAAAGGAGGAAAAACTGGGAATATTTGGGATAAATTATGGGGGAAATTGTTAATAAATAAAGGGGGAAAATGAGGAAAAAGGTGGGAAAAATAAGAATATTTAGGAAATTTGGGATAAATAATGGGGAAATATTAATGAATAAGTGAGGGAAATCGGGGAAATTTGGATATTGGAGGTAATATTGGGGAATTATTTGTAATATGGGAGGAAAATGGAAAAGATGGTGGGAAAATGAGGAAAAATTGGGTATTGAGGATAAATAATCAGGGAAATTATTGATAATTAAGGGAGGAAATGAGGATAATTGAGATATTAGGGATACAATAATAGGGCAAAAATATTCATAAATAAGGGAGGAAAAGGAGGAAAATTTGGAATATTTAGGATAAATAGTGGGGAAGTATGATAATAAGGAGAGAAATTAGGGGAAAACTATGGGAAGATGCGAATAAATAATGTGGGAAAATGCAGAAAATTGGGAATATTTGGGATAAATATTAAGGATTAATTACAGACATATTCAGGTAAAATGAGAGATAAATTTCAGGAAAATTCCCAGAATAATTTAACCTTTAAGACCCAGAATGGAGCATTTCCATGGGGATTTTTGGGTTCCACCATCACCATGTCCCCACCCCGTGCCTCAGATTCCCCTCCCACCGACCCAACCACAAATTCCACCCCAAATCCAAAAATTCCCTTTTTTTTTTGTATTTCCCAGTGCACCAATGGGAAATTCCAGTGGGGGATTGGCAATCAATGGGGAATCAATGGGGAATTGGCAATCAATGGGAATCAGTGGGGAATCAATGGGGAATCAGTGGGGAATCATGGGAATCAGTGGGGAATCAATGGGGAATTGGGAATCAATGGGAATCAATGGGAATCAGTGGGGAATCAGTAGGGAATTGGGAATCAATTGCAATCAATGGGAATCAGTGGGGAATCAATGGGGAGTGAATGGGAATCAGTGGGGAATGAATGGGGAATTGGCAATCAATGGGAATCAATGGGGAATCAATGAGGAGTCAATGGGTATCAGTGGGGAATCAATGGGGGAATTGGGAATCAATTGGAATCAATGGGAATCAATGGGAATCAATGGGAATCATGGGGAATTGGGGATCAATGGGAATCATGGGGAATTCAATGGGGATTGGGAATCAATGGAATTCCAATGAGGAATCAATGGGGAATCAATGGGGAATTGGGAATCAATGGGGAATTCCAATGGGGAATTGAGGATCAATGGGGACTTGGGAATCAATGGGGAATTGGGGATCAATGGGGAATCAATGGGGAATTGGGGATCAATGGGGAATTGGGGATCAATGGGGATTCCAATGGGGGATTTCAATGGGAAATTCTGATGAAAGTTGGGAACCAATGGAGAATCAATGGGGAATTGGGGACAATGGGGACTTGGGGATCAATGGGGAATTGGGAACCAGTGGGGAATCTATGGGAAATTCAATGTGGAAACTGGGGAGAAATAATGTGGAAAATGAGGCAAAATTCCCAGAATCATTTGACCCTGAAGTGCAGAATGGAGCTTTTCCACGGGGAGTTTTGAGTTCCCCATCACCATGACCAACCCGTGCCTCAGTTTCCCTCCCGCCAACCCATAAGGAATTCTGATGGAATTATCCCAAAAATTCTCATTTTTTTTGTATTTCTCAGTGCACCAATGGGAAATTCCAGTGGGGAATTGGCATCAATGGGGAATCAATGGGAACTGGCAATCAATGGGAATCGTGGGGAATCAATGGGGAATCAGTGGGGAATCAATGGGGAATGGCAATCAATGGGAATCAATGGGGAATCATGGGGAATGATGGGAATCAGTGGGGAATCAATGGGGAATTGGGAATCAATGGGAATCAGTGGGGAATCATGGGAATCAGTGGGGAATCAATGGGGAACTGGCAATCAATGGGAATCAATGGGGAATCAGTGGGGAATCAATGGGAATCCAGTGGGGAATCAATGGGAATTTGGGAATCAATGGGAATCAGTGGGAATCAATGGGGAACTGGCAATCAATGGGGAATCAATGGGGAATCAATGGGAATCAGTGGGGAATCAATGGGGAATTGGGAATCAATGGGGAATGAATGGGAATTTGGAATAAACAGGGATTCGATGGGAATGGCATCAATGGGAATCAGTGGGGAATCAATGGGAATCATGGGGAGTTGGGAATCAATGGGGAATCAATGGGGAATCAATGGGGAATTTGGAATAAACAGGGATTCGATGGGAATTGGCAATCAATGGGATCAGTGGGGAATCAATGGGAAATCAATGGGGAGTTGGGAATCATGGGGAATCATGGGAATCAATGGGGAATTGGGAATAAACAGGGAATTCCAATGGGAATTAGGAATCAATGGGGAATCAATGGGGAATCAATGGGGAATCAATGCGGAATTGGGAATCAATGGGAATCAATGGGGAATCAATGGGGAATCAGTGGGGAATTGGGAATCAATGGGAGAAAGAAGGTGGGAAAATGAGAAAAAAATGGGAATATTTGGGATAAATAATGGGGGAAAATGAACAAATAAGGGAGGAAAATGAGGAAAAAATGGTGGAAAATGTGGATAAATTGAGAACATTATTGATAATTAACAAGGATTAATAATAGAAAGAATTGGGAAAAATTGAAGATTAATTTCAGCATAATTCCCAGAATAATTTAACCCTTGAAGTGCCACAATGGAGCATTTCCAATGGGGATTTCTTCCTGCGCCTCAGTTTCCCTCCCACCGACCCAACCACAAATTCCAACCCCAAATCCCAAAAATTCCCATTTTTTTTTGTATTTCCCAGTGCACCAATGAGAAATTCCAGTGGGGAATTGGCAATCAATGGGGAATCAATGGGGAATTGGCAATCAATGGGGAATTGGGAATAAACAGGGAATTCCAATGGAAATTGGGGATCAATGGGAATCAGTGGGGAATCAATGGGGAATTGGGGATCAATGGGGAATCGATGGGGAATCAATGAGGGATTTGGAATCAATGGGGAATTTCAATGGGGAATCAATGGGAAATCAATGGGGAATCAATGGAGAATTCCAGTGGGGAATTAGGAATCAATGGGGAATCAATGGGGAATTCCAATGAAGAATCAATGGGGATGTTTGGGAAATTCCAATGGGAAAATGGGAAAAAATAGGGAGAAATAAAGGGGGAAAATGAGGAAAAGTTTGGAATATTCGGGATAAATAATGGGGGAAAATATTGGTAAATAATGGAGGAAAATGAGGAAAATTTGGGAAAAATAATTGAGAAAAATGTTGAAAAATAAAGGAGGAAAATGGGGGAAAAATGGTGGAAAAATGAGAATAAATAAGGGAGGAAAATGAGAATAAATTGGGAATATTTGGAATAAATAAACCCCAAAAATCTGTAAAATTCCCATTTTTTTTGCATCCCCAGTGCACCAATGGGAAATTCCAGTGGGGAATTGGCAATCAATGGGAATCAATGGGGAATTGGCAATCAATGGGAATCAGTGGGGAATCAATGGGGAATTGGGAATCAATGGGAATCAGTGAGGAATCAATGGGGAATTTGGAATAAAGGGAATCAGTGGGGAATCAATGGGAATCAGTGAGGAATCAATGGGAAATTGGGAATCAATGGGAATCAGTGGGGAATCAATGGGGAGTCACTGGGAATCAGTGGGGAATTGATGGGAATCAATGAGAATCAATCGGAATCAATGGGGAATTGGGAATCAGTGGGAACCAATGGGAATCAATGGGGAATTGGGAATCACTGGGAATCAATGGGAATCAGTGGGGAATCAATGGGGAATTGGGAATCAATGGGAATCAGTGGGGAATCAATGGGGAGTCAATGGGAATCAGTGGGGAATCAATGGGGAATTGGGAATCAATGGGAGTCAGTGGGGAATCAATGGGGAGTCAATGAGAATCAGTGGGGAATTAATGGGAATCAGTGGGGAATCAGTGGGGAGTTGGGAATCAATGAGAATCAGTGGGGAATCAATGGGGAATTGGGAATCAATGGGGAATTGGGAATCAATGGGAATCAGTGGGGAGTCAATGGGGAATTGGGAATCAATGGGGAATTGGGAATCAATGGGAATCAGTGGGGAATCAATGGGGAGTCAATGGGAATCAGTGGGGAATCAATGGGGAGTGAATGGGAATCAGTGGGGAATCAGTGGGGAATTGGGAATCAATTGGAATCAATGGGAATCAGTGGGGAATCAATGGGGAATCAATGGGGAATCAATGGGGAATCAATGGGGAATCAATGGGGAATTGAGAATCAATGGGAATCAGTGGGGAATCAGTGAGGAATCAATGGGGAATTGAGAATCAATGGGAATCAGTGGGGAATCAGTGGGGAATCAATGGGGAGTCAATGGGAATCAGTGGGAATCAATGGGAATCAATGGGGAATTGGGAATCAATGGGAATCAATGGGAATCAATGGGGAATTGGGGATCAATGGGGAATCGATGGGAAATTCCCATTTTTTTTTGTGTCCCCAGTGCACCAACGGGCACCTGATGTGCGCGGGGTGTTTCATCCATCTCCTGGCGGACTCGCGGCTGAAGGAGGAGCAGGCCACGTGTCCCAACTGCCGCTGCGAGATCTCCAAGAGCCTCTGCTGCCGCAACCTGGCCGTGGAGAAGGCGGTCAGCGAGCTGCCGGCCGAGTGCGGCTTCTGCGCCCGCCAGTTCCCCCGCTCGCTGCTCGAGCGCCACCAGAAGGAGGAGTGCCAGGACAGGTCCGTTTTTGGGAACGTTCGGGGATTTTTTTGGAATTTTTGGGGTTTTTTTTTGGAATTTCTTGAGGTGTTATGAGGTCTCGAGGTGGTTTTTGGTGGTTTCCAGGTGGTTTGGGGTGGTTTTGAGGTGTTTTTGGTGGTTTTGGAGTGGTGGGACATGTCAAAGTTCATGAGGTCTTTCTTGCAGCACCATCAGAAGGATGTCTGGGATTTCTTTGAGGTATTTTGGGGTCCCGAGGTGGTTTTTGGTGGATTCCAGGTGGTTTGGGGTGGTTTTAAAGTATTTTTGGTGGTTTTGGGGTGGTGGGACACCTCAAAGTTCTTGAGATCCCTGGAGCGCCACCAGCAGGAGGTGTGGCATGATGGAAAGAGGTTTTTGGGGTTTCTATGGGGTTTTTTGTGGTTCTGGGGCAGTTTTTTGTGGTTTTGAGGGGATTTTTGGTGGTTTTGGGGTGGTGGGACACCTCAAAGTTCTTGAGATCTTTGCAGCGCTACCAGAAGGAGGAGTGCCAGGACAGGTCCGTTTTTGGGAATGGTTGCGATTTTTTTTTTTTAATTTCTTGAGGTGTTATGAGGTCTCGAGATGGTTTTTGGTGGTTTCCAGGTGGTTTGGGGTGGTTTTGAGGTAGTTTTGGTGGTTTTGGGGTGGTGGGACACCTCAAAGTTCTTGAGATCTTTTGAACACCACTAGCAGGTGGTGTGGCATGATAGAAGAAGGTGTTTTGGGGATTTCATGGGATTTTTTTGTGGTTCTGGGGTGGTTTTGGGTGGATTCAGGGTGGTTTTTGGTAGTTTGGGATGGTGGGACACCTCAAAGTTCTTGAGATCTTCCTTGGAGCACCACCAGATGGATGTCTGGGATTTTTTGGGGTTTCAATGTGGTTTGGGGTGGATTCGTGGTGGTTTTTGGTGTTTTTGTGGTGATTTTAGGTGGTTTTTGGATGGTGGGACACCTCAAAGTTCTTGAGATCTTTCAGGGCCACTAGAAGGAGGAGTGCCAGGACAGGTCCGTTTTTGGGACCGTTTGGGAATTTTTTTGGAATTTCTTGAGGTGTTATGAGGTCTCGAGGTGGCTTTTGGTGGTTTCCAGGTGGTTTGGGGTGGTTTTGAGGTAGTTCTGGTGGTTTTGGGGTGGTGGGACACCTCGAAGTTCTTGAGAACATCATTGGTCTATCAGCAGAGGGAGTGTCAGGATAGGTGAAAGATGTTTTGGGGATTTTTAAGGGATTTTTTGTAGTTCTGGGGCAGTTTTTTGTGGTGTCGAGGGGATTTTTCATGGTTTTGGGGTGGTGGGACACCTCAAAGTTCTTGAGATCTTTGCAGCGCTACCAGAAGGAGGAGTGCCAGGACAGGTCCATTTTTGGGAACGTTTGGGATTTTTTGGGGGGATTTTTTGAGGTATTTTGGGGTCTCGGGGTGGTTTTAGGTGGTTTTGCAGTGGTTTGGGGTGGTTTTGAGGTGGCTTTAGGTGGTTTTGGGGTGGTGGGACACCTCAAAGTTCTTGAGAACATCATTGGTTTAGCAGCAGAAGGAGTGTCAGGATAGGTGAAAGATTTTTTGGGACTTTTAAGAATTTTTTTGTGGTTTTGGGGCAGCTTTTGGTGGTTTCTGATGGTTTTTGGTGGTTTTGGGATGGTGGGACACCTCAAAGTTCTTGAGATCTTTCTTGGAGCACCATGAGAAGGATGATATTTTTTTGAGATATATTTTGGAGTTTTGAGGTGGTATGGGGTGGATTCGTGGTGGTTTTTGGTGGATTCGTGGTGGGTTTTGGTGGATTCGTGGTGGTTTTTGGTGGTTTCTGGGTGGTGGAACACCTTAAAGTTCTTGAGATCTTTCTTGGAACATTCTCTTGGGAGGATGTCTGGTATTTTTTTGAGATATTTTGGGGGTTTGGGTGGTTCCGTGGTGGTTTCGTGGTGGTTTTTGGTGGTTTTGGACGGTTTTGAGTGATTTCTGGATGGTGGGACACCTCAAAATTCTTGAGATCTTTGCAGCGCCACCAGAAGGAGCAGTGCCAGGACAGGTCCGTTTTTGGGAATGTTTGGGATTTTTTGGGGGGATTTTTGAGGTATTTTGGGGTCTCCGGGGGGTTTTTGGTGGATCCGTGGTGGTTTCTGATGGTTTTGAGGTGGTTTTAGGTGGTTTTGGGGTGGTGGGACACCTAAAAGTTCTCGAGATCTTTTGAACACCACTAGCAGGAGGTGTGGCATGATAGAAGAAGGTGTTTTGGGATTTTATGGGACTTTTTTTGTGGTTCTGGGGTGGTTTTGGGTGGATTCAGGGTGGTTTTTGGTAGTTTGGGATGGTGGGACACCTCAAAGTTCTTGAGATCTTTTTTGGGGCACCATCATGATGATGTTTGGAATTTTTTGGATTTTTTAGGGGTTATTTTGGGATTCTGGGGTGGTTTTTGGTGTTTTCACGGTGGTTTTTGGTGGTTTTGGTGTGGTAGGACACCTCAAAGTCCTTGAGATCTTCCTTGAAGAACCATCAGAAGCACGTCGGGGATTTTTTGCGGTTTTGGGGTGGTTTTTGGTGGTTTTAGGTGGTTTTGGGTGGTTTTGGGTGGTTTTGGTCTGGTGGGACATCTCCAAGTTCTTGAGATCTTTGGAATGCCACCAGAAGGATGTGTGGCCTGACAGGACAAGGACTTTTTGGGACTCTTTTTGGATTTGGTGGAGACTTTTTTAGGGTTTGGGGCACTTTTTGGTCTTTTCAGGGTGGTGGGACGCCTCAAAGTTCTTGAGATCTTTCATGGAGCAGTTCCAGAAGGAGTATCACGACAGATGATGGATGGGAATGGTCCTGGATGAGACTTTTGGGAATTTGTGTGGAGTTTTGGGGGTTTTGGGGTGGTTTTTCGTGGTTTTGAGGTGGTTTTGGTGGTTTCTGGGTGGTGGGACACCTCAAAGTTCTTGAGATATTTTTTGGAGCACCATCAAAAGAATGTTGGGGATTTTTCTCAGATATTTTGGGGTCTCCAGGTGGTTTGGGGTGGTTTTATGGTGGTTTTTGTTGATTTGAGGTGTTTTTGGTGGTTTTGGGATGATGGGACATCTCAAAGTTCTTGAGATTTTCCTTGGAACACCATGAGAAGGATGTCGGGGATTTTTTCTGAGATTTTTTGGGGTCTCCAGGTGGTTTTTGGTGGTTTTGTGGTGGTTTTTGGTGGTTTCAGATGGTTTTTGGTGGTTTTGGGATGATGGGACACCTCAAAGTTCTTGAGATCTTCCTTGGAGCACCATGAGAAGGATGTAGGGGATTTATTTGAGGTATTTTGGGGTCTCCAGGTGGTTTCTGGTGGATTCCTGGGGGTTTCCAATGGCTTTGAGGTGGTTTTAGGTGGTTTCTGGGTGGTGGGACACCTCAAAGTTCTTGAGATCTTTCTTGGAGCACCATCAGTAGAGTGGGATTTTTTTTGAGGTGGTTTGGGGTCTCGAGGTGGTTTTTGGTGCATTTCCGGTGGTTTCCAATGGTTTTGAGGTGGTTTTTGGTGGTTTCTGGATGGTGGGACACCTCAAAGTTCTTGAGATCTTCCTTGGAGCACCATGAGAAGAATGTGGGGGATTTTTTTGAGGTATTTTGGGGTCCCGAGGTGTTTTAGGGTGGATTCATGGTATTTTGGGATGGTTTTGAGGTGGTTTTAGGTGGTTTCCGGGTGGTGGGACACCTCAAAGTTCTTGAGATCTCTCTTGGAGCACCATCAGTAGAATGCAAATTTTTTTTTGAGGTATTTTGGGGTCTCCAGGTGCTTTTTGGTGGATTCCAGGGGGTTTGGGCTGGTTTTGAGGTGATTTTTGTTGGTTTTGGGATGGTGGAACACCTCAAAGTTCTTGAGATCTTCCTTGTAGCCCCACCAGCAGCACTATGAGGACCACTGAGGGCTGGCAATGGTCCTGCCTGGATTTTTAGGTATTTATGGGAATTTTTTGGGTTTTGGACCATTTCCATCCCAAATCTCCCCAAAATCCCACCAATTGTCCTCAGATGTCCCCAGATGTCCCCAGATGTCCCATTTTGTCCCCGTTTCCCCGCAGGGTGACGCAGTGCAGGTCCAAGCGCATCGGGTGTCCCTGGCAGGGCCCCTTCCACGAGCTGTCGGTGCACGAGGCCGAACGCTCCCAAATTCCCCTTTTTTATCCCAAATTTTCCACTTGCATTTTCCGTTTTTATCCCAAAGCATTTCCCATTTTTTCCCCCCAAAATTCCCATTTTTTCCCCCAAAACATTCCCATTTTTTCCCCCTAAAATTCCCATTTTTTCCCCCAAAACATTCCCAATTTTTCCCCCAAAAATTCCCGTTTTTTCCCAAAAAATCACCTTTTTTTTCCCAAAAAACTCCCGATTTTTTCCCGAAACATTCCCATTTTTTTTCCCCAAAAATTCCCTTTTTGTTCCCAAAAAATTGCCTTTCTCTTCGCAAAAAAAATCCCGTTTTTTCCCAAAAAATTCCCATTTTTTCCCCCCAAAATTCCCAATTTTTCCCTAAATTCCCGTTTTTCTCCCGTTTTCTCCGCAGGGTGACGCAGTGCAAGTACAAGCGCATCGGGTGTCCCTGGCAGGGCCCCTTCCACGAGCTGTCGGTGCACGAGGCCGAGTGCTCGCACCCCACCAAGACGGGCAACGAGCTCATGGACATCCTGGACGAGATGGACCAAACGCGCAAGAAGGAGATGCAGCTCTACAACAGCATCTTCAGCCTGCTCAGCTTCGAGAAGATCGGCTACACCGGTACGGGGCCACCACCGTTCCGAAAAATTCCATGAAATTCCAGAAAATTCCCAAAATTTGTGGGGTTTTCTGGAGGTTTTATGGGGTCTTCTAAAGGTTCTCCATGGTTTCGAGAAGGTTTTAGGGAGTTCTTCAAGGGTTCTCCATGGTTTCCAGAAGGTTTTTTGAGGTCTTCAGAAGGTTCCTTGAGGTTCTCAGAAGGTTTCATGGAGTTTTCTTAAAGTCTCTTGAGGTTCTAAGAAGGTTTTATGGGGTCTTCTAAAGGTTGTCCTTGATTTCCAGAAGGTTTTATGAGGTCGTCAGAAGGTTCCTTGAGGTTCTCAGAAGGTTTCATGGAGTCTTCTTAAAGTCTCTTGAGGTTCTAAGAAGGTTTTATGGGGTCTTCTAAAGGTTGTCCTTGATTTCCAGAAGGTTTTATGAGGTCGTCAGAAGGTTCCTTGAGGTTCTCAGAAGGTTTCATGGAGTTTTCTTAAAGTCTCTTGAGGTTCTAAGAAGGTTTTATGGGGTCTTCTAAAGGTTGTCCTTGATTTCCAGAAGGTTTTATGAGGTCGTCAGAAGGTTCCTTGAGGTTCTCAGAAGGTTTCATGGAGTCTTCTTAAAGTCTCTTGAGGTTCTAAGAAGGTTTTATGGGGTCTTCTAAAGGTTGTCCTTGATTTCCAGAAGGTTTTATGAGGTCGTCAGAAGGTTCCTTGAGGTTCTCAGAAGGTTTCATGGAGTCTTCTTAAAGTCTCTTGAGGTTCTAAGAAGGTTTTATGGGGTCTTCTAAAGGTTGTCCTTGATTTCCAGAAGGTTTTATGAGGTCGTCAGAAGGTTCCTTGAGGTTCTCAGAAGGTTTCATGGAGTCTTCTAAAGGTTCTCCATGGTTTTCAGAAGGCTTTATGGGGTTCTCCAAAGGTTTTCCGTGGTTTCCAGAAGGTTTTATGGGGTCTTCAGAAGGTTCCTTGAGGTTCTCAGAAGGTTTCATGGGGTTCTCCAAGGGTTTCCAAATGGTTTTCTGGGGTTTTTCCAAAGCAGGAGATGCAGCTCTACTACAGCATCTTCAGCCTGCTCAGCTTCGAGAAGATCGGCTACACCGGTACGGGGCCACCACCATCCCACAACATTCCACAAAATTCCACAAAATTCCAGAAAATTCCGGAAAATTGCTGAAATTTGTGGGGTTTTCTGGAGGTTTTATGGGGTCTTCAGAAGGTTCTCCATGGATTCCAGAAGGTTTTATGGAGTTTTCTGAAGGCTCTCCATGGTTTTGAGAAGGTTTTCTGGGGTCTACTAAAGGTTCTCCATGGTTTTGAGAAGGTTTTATGGAGTTCTTCAAGGGTTCTCCATGGTTTTGAGAAGGTTTTATGGGGTCTTCAGAAGGTTCTCCATGGTTTCCAGAAGGTTTTATGGAGTTTTCTGAAGGTTCTCCATGGTTTTGAGAAGGTTTTATGGGGTCTACTAAAGGTTCTCCATGGTTTCCAGAAGGTTTTATGGGGTCTTCAGAAGGTTCCTTGAGGTTCTCAGGAGATCTAATAGAGTTTTCTGAAGGTCTCTTGAGGTTCTTAGAAGGTTTTGTGGGGTTCTCCTGGGGTTTTCCATGGTTTCCAGAAGGTTACATGGGGTCTTCTGAAGGTCTCTTGAGGTTCTGAGAAGGTTTCATGGGGTCTTCTAAAGGTTCTCTATGGTTTCCAGAAGGTTTTTTGGGTTTTTCCAAAGCAGGAGATGCAGCTCTACAACAGCATCTTCAGCCTGCTCAGCTTCGAGAAGATCGGCTACACCGGTACGGGGCCACCACCATCCCACAACATTCCTGGAATTAATGGGGGTTTCTGGAGGTTTTATGGGGTCTTCAGAAGGTTCTCCATGGATTTCAGGAGGTTTTATGGAGTTTCCTGAAGGTTCTCCATGGTTTTGAGAAGGTTTTATGGAGTTCTTCAAGGGTTCTCCATGGTTTTGAGAAGGTTTTATGGAGTTCTTCAAGGGTTCTCCATGGTTTTGAGAAGGTTTTATGGGGTCTTCAGAAGGTCTCTTGAAGTTCTTAGAAGGTTTTTTGGGGTTTTCTGAAAGTTCTCCATGGATTCCATAAGGTTTTATGGAGTTCTTCAAAGGTTTTCCATGGTTTTCAGAAGGTTTTATGGGGTCTTCTGAAGGTCTTTTGAGGTTCTGAGAAGGTTTTATGGGGTCTTCTGAAGGTTCTCCATGCTTTCCAGAAGGTTGTATGAGGTCTTGAGAAGGTTCCTTAAGGTTCTGAGAATGTTTTATGGGATTCTCCGAGGGTTTTCCACGATTCCCAGAAGTTTTTATGGAGTTTTCTAAAGGTCGCTTGACCTTCTCAGAAGGTTTTATGGGGTCTTCCTAGGATTGTCCACGGTTTCCAGAAGGTTTTATGGGATCTCTTAAAGGTTTTTTGAGGTTTTTTGAAGGTTCTTTGGGTTTTTTTGGAGGATTTATGGGGTCTTCAGAAGGTTTTATGGGGTTCTCCAAGGGTTTCCATGGTTCCCAGAAGGTTTATGGGGTTTTTAGAAGGTTCCTTGAGGTTCTCAGAAGGTTTTATGGGTTCTTCAGAATGTTCCTTGACGTTCTAAGAAGGTTTTATGGGGTCCCTCAAAGGTTTTCCATGGTTTCCGGAAGGTTTTATGGACTTTTTAGAAGGTTTCTTGAAGTTCTCAGAAGATTTAGTTGGGTTCTCCAAAGATTTTCTATGATTTCTAGAAGGTTTTATGGGTTCTTTTAAAGGTTTTTTGAGGTTCTCAGAAGGTTTTTTGGAGTTCTCCAAAGGTTCTCCATGGTTCTCAGAAGGTTTTATGGAGTCTTCTGAAGGTCCCTTGAGGTTCTCAGAAGGTTTTATGGGGTTCTCCTGGGGTTTTCCATGGTTTCCAGAAGGTTTTATGGGGTTTTCAGAAGGTTCCTTGAGGTTCTGAGAAGGTTTTATGGAGTTTTCTGAAGGTCTCTTGAGGTTCTCAGAAGGTTTTATGGGGTCTTCTAAAGGTTTTCCATGGTTCTCAGAAGGTTTTATGGAGTTCTCTGAAGGTCCCTTGAGGTTCTCAGAAGGTTTTTTTGAGTCCTCCAAAGGTTGTCCATGGTTTCCAGAAGGTTTTATGGGGTCTCCAGAATGTTCCTTGAGGTTCTCAGAAGGTTTTATGGGGTTCTCCTGGGGTTTTCCATGGTTTCCAGAAGGTTTTTTGGGATTCTCCAAAGCTTCTCCAGGATTTTCCGAAGGATTTTTTTTGGCTTTTCTGATTTTTCCCGGAGTTTCTCCATCCCGCTCAGCTTCCAGAAGCTCCGTTCCTCCAGCAGAGGACAGCCCGGAATTCCGAGAATTCCCAAAACCTGAGCAGAAATTCGGGAATGTTTTAGGACGCCGATGTTGCCGCTTTGGGACCCGGTGAAATTTTGGGAATTCCGTGGGATCCTGATGGAATTTATTTAGGATCTGTGGAAAATTCTGGGAATTCTGTAGGATCCAGGTGAATCCAGTTTGAGATCTGTGGAAAATTCCGGGAGTTTTGTGGGATCCAGTGAAAATTCCAGGAATTTTATGGGATCCTGGCGAATCCAGGTTGGGATCCGGTGAAATTTTGGGAATTTTGTGGGATCAAGTTGAATTTTATTTAGGATCTGTTGATAATTTGGGGAATTTTGTGGGATCCTGGTGAATCCTTTTAGGATCCACTGAAAATTTTGGGAATTCTGTGGGATCCTGGTGAATCCAGTTTGGGATCTGGTGAAAATTCGGGAAATTTTGTAGGATCAAGTTGGATTCTCTTTAGGATCCGATGATAATTTGGGGAATTTTGTGGGATCCTGTTGAATCCAGTTTAGGATCCACTGAGAATTCCAGGATTTTTTTAGGTCAATGATGAATCCCTGTAGGATCTGATGAACATTTGGGGAATTCTGTGGGATCCTGGTGGATCCAGTTTGGGATCTGGTGAGAATTTTGGGAATTTTGTAGGATGAAGTTGAATCTTCTTTAGGATCCGATGGTAATTCTGGGAATTTTGTGGGATCCTGGTGAATCCTTCTAGGATCCACTGAAAATTCCAGGAATTTTGTGGGATCCTGGTGAATCCAGTTTGGGATGTGATGAAAATTTTGGGAATTTTGTAGGATAAAGGGGAATTTTATTTAGGCTCCGATGATAATTCCGGGAATTTTGTGGGATCTTGGCCAATCTTTGTAGGATCTATTGAAAATTCCAGGAATTCTGTGGGATCCTGGCAAATCCTGTTTGGGATCTGGTGAAAATTCTGGGAATTTTGTAGGATAAAGTTGAATTTTATTTAGGATCTGATGATAATTCTGGGAATTTTGTGGGATCATGGTGAATCCTTTTAGGATCTAATGAAAATTCTTGGAAATTTTGTAGGATAAAGGTGAATTTTCTTTAGGATCCAATGATAACTTTGGGAATTTTGTAGGATCCTGCTGAATCCAGTTTAGGATCCACTAAAAATTCCAGGAATTTTTGAGGATAATGGCGAATCCGTGCAGGATCTGATGATGATTCCAGGAATTTTATGGGATCCTGGTGGATCCAGGTTGGGATCCGGTGAAAATTTTGGGAATTTTGTGGGATCAAGTTGAATTTTATTTAGGATCTGATGATAATTCTGGGAATTTTGTGGGATCCTGGTGAATCCTTTTAGGATCCACTGAAAATTTTGGGAATTCTGTGGGATCCTGGTGAATCCAGTTTGGGATCTGGTGAAAATTCGGGAAATTTTGTAGGATCAAGTTGGATTTTCTTTAGGATCCGATGATAATTTGGGGAATTTTGTGGGATCCTGTTGAATCCAGTTTAGGATCCACTGAAAATTCCAGGATTTTTTTAGGTCAATGATGAATCCCTGTAGGATCTGACGAAAATTTGGGGAATTCTGTGGGATCCTGGTGGATCCAGTTTGGGATCTGGTGAGAATTTTGGGAATTTTGTAGGATGAAGTTGAATCTTATTTAGGATCCGATGGTAATTCTGGGAATTTTGTGGGATCCTGGTGAATCCTTCTAGGATCCACTGA